GATCCTAGCGAAACACCAGTTTCCTGTGCTAAGCGTCTTAACGATTTTCGAGGACTGATCTGTAATCTTGCCTGAATATCCTTAACCTTTTCTTCAGTCAGCACAGTTCTCTTCGATTGCTTCTTCTTGTCACTCACTGAACCTGTGGCCCGCCACTTTTTCAGAAGCCTGTTTACACACGACTTTGTGGGAACTGGCGAGTCAGGATATTTCTGACGAAACCTACGTGCGAATTTTCTGTAAATGTTTTTCCTTGCAATAGTTTCGACAATAAACACACGCTGTTTAATAGTGAACTTCATTTCCACCGTCTGTCGACAGCTGTAAACATTCCACTCCACTTCCACAGCAAGAAAAAGACTGACTGTTTAATGCAACCTCGGGTTCCGATTATGCAACCATCGGCGTAGGAGCACTGCAGTCGCGGGGAGGAGTTGCATCCGTTCTGCGGTGGTATGACTCACGGCAAATTGCAGCCGCGGCGCGCACTTGATTGTACGCACTGTATTTCAGTATTACATTTAGATTTTTATTTTACTGTGACATGTTTTAGGCATACGTGACCATCATCAGGCAGGAATATGTATAGTTATTGAAATACCGATACGGATCCTTATGGGTGCAACGCATTGTATTAAATGTTAACATAAAAACTTTGCCTCAGATTAGTATATAGTTAAAATAGCAAACACATGATTAAGATTAAAAAATAAAAGATAGAATAAAGGTGTACTATATATAAAATGTTGAAATAATATTAAAATATATTAAAGGTATGTTAGAAGTATATAAAAGGTATAAACAACTATATGTAGGGTTAGGGATCTGTATGCCAAATAAAATATTTATTTTACGGGGATATCCTGCTACAGTGTAGAATTGGTCATGTACGTTGCATAGGTCTTGTTGCAGAAATTCTATGTAATAAGCCCGGTATATGAGGCCCAAAGACAAGTTCGATGGCACGTGGGTGTTTGGTATAGTATTCCCACGCTGTGTACCCTATATATAAAACTTGCAAATTGGTGTATGTTTCTTGTCTGGGCATATACACATTCGGTGTG